TTGTTTTCTTTTTGCACACAAAGTATTCTCGTAGCTTCGCAAAACTGAAGTTGAGCAACTGATGTCACATGGACTATTGTACCGATGTCCTTACTGCGTTTCTGGATCTGGGAACATTACAGTTGCGTTGCTGTGTATGGGAGGGCCAGAGAGCTCTCAGATTTCATCAAAAATATCTTAATTTGTGTTCCGAAGATGAACGAAGGTCTTACGGGTTTGGAACGACACGAGGGTGAGTCATTAATGACAGAATTTTCATTTTGGGGCGAACTATCCCTTTAACTAATGTAACGCACCTCTTCTTCATCATCGTCTTCTTCGTAATTTCTGTTTCTGCGGACCAAGCTGTATTGGTCCTCAGGGTCATCCTCTGGAGCAGGGGAGGGTGGTCCGTCCACCAGTGACCGGGAGCGTGTGTGAGGACGGGACGTTCGCTCTGGGTTTCTCCGGCGAGCGCCGCTGGCATCCAGAGACCGGCGAGGAACACGACGAGGCTGTACAGAGAGAAGGAGAAAATTCAGTCAAACCAAGGTAAAACAAGAACTAATAATAATCTAAATTAGTAGCATTGTATTGCTCATAATAAAATTATTAAGCATTATTTCTTATTAGTAATAATGTAATTTTTTATCAATATTATTAGCATAAACAAGTTATTCATAGTAACTATTGTAGACATTAATAAATTATTAGTATAATTTTATCATCAGTAATATTAATACAATTTTTAGTCATCATTTTTTAACAACAGTACTCTGAAGTCTTACCGTATTGCCCTGTGACAAAGCAGCCCTCCTGGGATTGAGTCCAGGAACCTTATCCAGCTCTGACATTAGCTTAGCAAGCTATAAGGAAGAGATCGCAATTCTGTTAAAACTGGATTCATACTCAAACTAATCATCAAGATTATCATCATAAGAATGACATTCAAACTGCAATAGATGAATGCATACTAATATCCAGGGTTGGATACATGCCGAGTTACCTTTTAAAAAAAAAAAAGACAAAAAACCTAAATTAAATGCAGGAGTGTAGAAGTAGAGTTCCTCACCATAGCTTTGTTCTCTTTGATGTTCAGCGCTCTCTTCAGCATGAAGTTGTCTCCCTCAGAGTCAGACTCGGGGTCTTTAGGTTCAGGTTTGGACTCAGGCGACACTGGCTTTGAAGGACTGGCCCGTTTGTTCGGGAACTTCATGGCTACTCGGAGCGTGAACGATTTGCGAGTTTTTCTGGGAGGCGAACAGGCCTCAGAATCAGAGTCCATTTTCTGTGAGGAAAAACCACTTGATTAATTGAACACATTCATCCTTTCAGAAGCCAGTATATGATAAAGCAACAAGCAGAGACTGAAGCGTTTCCTGTGGTTACAAACCATTTCTGTCATGTCGTCGTTCAGGTCGTTCTCAAAACCGCTGCACGCATCCTCTTCCTCCGTCACGGGTAAAACGCTAAACACTTTCGCACTCGGAGCAGAGCTTCTCGTCTGTCTCAGCGGTCTCTTCTATAAGAAAAAAAAC